ACAATATGACAAAAAAATACGTGGCATGATCTGATTGTCCCGGCTTATATAGACCGTGGGTACAAGCCAATGAACGGATGTTTTCCAGACTCCTTCCGAAAAAGGGGTCTGGCTGCGCCAGACTACATTCTTGTCACAACAAAGTAGTGATGGGCGATATGGCCAATTTTCTTAATTTTCGATAACGATCGATAATGGACTTTTTCAGGAAATATCGATTATTAACGATACGATAACCACACCTTCATTTTGGGGTGTGTCAAGGGTGTGGCTAATGATTTTAGCACAGATATAACTGTACTGGACATGAGAGAAGATCATTTCCTAATCATTTTCTTACTCTTGAGCTTGGTTCTCTTCCTATTGAAGTAGGCTGAGCTAACAACTGCTCAGTTGCTTCTTTCTTGCAGTTCAACAGTGCAATTATCTACTTATTAAAATTAGTTATTTAACCTTAATAAATGGGCGTGGTCAATAGATCGATGAAAATAGCATAGATAATAGAGTACTCTATTATCTATGAAAATAGCATAAAATTTTCGATAATGATTCAAATCGATTCCGTAAAATATCGTTTATATCGATAAAGAATCGATATATCGCCCATCACTACAACAAAGCAATTGACCTTGTTCATCAGCAATTCACCACGTTAGCTGAGTTTATGCAGTGGAAAGAACAATATGAGACAAGTTCACGATCTTCATTTGTCCTACATTCTTCTCCAAAGGAGCGTAGTTCAGCAGGCTATGTAACTTACTACTATTATTGTAACAGATCTGGCAAGTATATTGGTAGAGGAAAGGGAAAGCGGCAATTAAAAATTCAAGGATCTTCAAAGTTGGATACACACTGTCCTGCCTATATAAGGGCAAAAAGGTACCAAGATGGACAAGTGCATGTTGAAATATGTGACTATCATACCCACGAGTTGCTATTAGCACATCTTCCTTTGCCTGAGTCAACTAGACAGATAGTTGCAGCAAAACTTGCCGATGGAGTTACCATTTCAACAATTTTTGATTCTGTTCGTGATGAGCCTTTGGATGGAGTAATTACTCGTAAACACCTCCTTTGCCGTCAAGATATACACAACATAAAATATCAATACAACCTGGAAGGTGTGAAATTGCATTCTGATGATCACACAAGTGTATCTTTGTTTGTTGCTGAGAATATGAGGATTACATGCGAGTCAGAAGAGTTTGAAAATCCTGTAATTATTTATAAACAGCAAGGGCAAGAGCAACCAGATAGTATTGATGATTTGTCTGATGAGGACTTCATTATTGGGCTTCAAACACCTTTTCAACGGGATATGTTAACTAAATTCGGGTCAACTGCAGTGTGTATGGATAGTACACACGGCACAAATGTATATGACTTCTTCCTAATAACGATTTTAGTACTAGATGAGTTTGGAGAAGGAATTCCTGTATGCTGGTTCATTTCTAATAGAGAAGACTCTGCTGCAATACGACAAGGTTTACTCAAGCTTAAGGATAGGTGTGGGGATATTCATACCAACACCTTTATGAGTGATGATGCAGAGAATTTCTACAATGCATGGCAGGGAGTTTTCACCACAGTCCACACAAAAAGCTAATCTGTGCCTGGCATATCGATAGGAGCTGGAAGAAAGGAATTCAGAGACACATTTCTGGTAAAGCTAAGCAAGAAGAAGTATATCATTGTTTGCGTGCACTTCTAAACGAAGGTGACGAAGCTTCATTTCGCCAGAGGCTTCAGCAATTTGTCTCATGGCTCTCCACTATGGAAGAATTGTCAAGTTTTTCAGAGTACTTTCAACATGAATACATCAAACGAGTTGAACAGTGGGCTCCATGCTACAGAATTGCGTCAGTCGTGAATACAAATATGGCTGTTGAGTCGTTTCACCATGTTTTGAAGGTATGTTACATGGAGAAAAAGCAAAACCGTCGTGTTGATAAGCTGATTCATTTTCTGTTGAAAATTGCTCGTGACAAAGTCTTTGACAGAATAATCAAAACTCAAAAGGGAAAGATGACTCATAGGTTGAGTGAAATTATGAAGCGACATAGAAATGCAGAAGAAGCGTTACCATCAGTCAACATCCAGTGCTTATCTGAAGGGAACTTGTGGAGAGTGGAATCTGTTTCCATGCAGAAGACCTACAATGTAGAACGAAACAGTGCATTGCAGTGCTCATGCAAATTGAGCTGTTCAACTTGTAAAGTTTGTGTACATTCATTTACTTGTACATGTATGGACTACATTCTACATGCAACAGTATGTAAGCACATTCATATTGTATGCCTTGGTACCAGCATTGGCAACAAAGCCGAGGACACTTCAAGCATAAGACGGAATCCGTTGGTACAGGAACAGGAGTGCAACAGTTTTATTATGTCAGACTCTGGAGTCAATTATACTGAAAGTACTGACTTGGCAGAGGGCTGCCTTACAGCAGATACAGCTACATGTACTACTTCTGGTGTTACAGAAAATCTTGAAATATATCTTAAAACAACTTTAAGTGATGAAAGTCATTTGACTCAAATGAAAGCTGTCAAGATGTGTAAACAGATAGAAGCAGAGTTGCTTAACTGTCAAGATGTCGATGCAATTACAGCTGGAATGAAGCACCTCAGTTCTGCTTTGATGGTAATAAGGTCAATGAACAATAACCCAAGAAATTCTTCATTTCCTGTAAAGAAGCGACCAGCTCCAAATGCAAATTGTGAGAAGCAGTTTCGTTTTAAATCCACTAAAAGGAAAACCGAGCATGTGCGTAAAACACTGTCGAAACCAAATTTGGATGAAATGAAGGAGTGTGTTGAAAAATTAGATGAGATTGAAGTCGATGTTTGTGGGTTATGTTTGCATCCTGATGATAAGACTGGTAATGCTGTTGTGAATTGGGTGGAGTGTCTACTTTGTGGCACTTGGTATCATGAACTTTGTGTTAAAACTGACTCTCTTGATGATTTTATTTGTGATGTTTGTCAAAAAGATTAATACAATAATAGATTATTTTTTAAAAATTATAATAGTTGTAACAATTTCTGAACTCATAACTACTAGTACTGTGCTCACAATTATTGTTTGTCACTATATTCTGTATGAAAATCATTAGTTTAATATTTTTCTTAAGTTTTATTACAATTACAAGGTTAAGTGAGCTACGCCCTCTTCCGTTTCTCCCGTACTTTCGAATATCCGGAAATGCAAACGTCCTCTCCCTAATGCTAGTCATGATAAAGATCTTGATAACATCAGTTGATTTACATAGTAACAGTAAAAGGAAGAGGCTACAATTGCCTGGCCTCTTATTTCCACATGTTTCTTGTTCTTATCTTCTGACTAAATCACGGTTACGTTGTTTATAGCGAGTCATAGTGAAACAGGCCGAGGCTTCAGGACGATCCGCAAGGACTCATTCAAGATGACTTTTAACATCGAGTTTGAGTCTGCCGAAGAGAAAGGTGCCTTTAGTTATCATTTAAAAGATTTTCAATCCTTGCTATCTAAGAACAAGCTAGATAGCTTTGGTCTGTTGACAGCCATGTTTAATTTTATAGTTTTAGCCTAAGCTGCATGATGCATGGCTCTTTTGAGTCTTCTGCTGGTATAGGGAGTTAGTAAAACTGTCTGTACTCTTCTAAGAGTCCTTTTTAGATCTTGTGGATGCCTGTGGTGCTTGCATTCTGTGATTCTTCACTGCCCATTTTTAATTACATTCTAAAGCCACCCGCCATTTTTAATTGACTGGGCAGCCCACCCCCCTTTTATACGCAGAGTTTTATACCCGTGCTCATGCTCGGTGCTGTAGCAATC